TCTTAGCAATGTATAAATATAATTCTTCTTCATAATTAATATTATTTATTTTAATAAAATTAATTTCAGATAATTTCATTTATAATTCTATAATTTCAAAGTTTTATGTATATATATAAAAGAGCTCTTTAATTAATAAATTACATGCGAAATTAATAATGTGCAAAAGAATTTATGAATATTTCAAACGAACGATACCGCCCGTATTTCATCTTCATAATCAAAAGCGCCCGATGATATCCAGAACGTGTCGTGTGTCGTGTTTTCCACAGTTGACAATGTTTCCGTCATATCGATTGCTCGTCGCAACCTGTAATTCGATTTATGCTGTTCGAGAGCATTACTTGTTCGCCGACAAAGCGGACGCGCCGCGGTGCAGCCGCGAAAAGAGTGAGAAACGAAACGGCAGCCTCGACGAGGTGCTCGTGTAATCAAGGAAACGATCAAATTATAGCTGCTTGCGAAAGGCTGATTGCTCGCCCGCGGGGAAATTACCCTTTCTTCGTTCGGCGGCTCGGACCTTTAATTGGCACTCGTAATTAAGCATTTCCTTTTCCGTTCGCCCCGATACGCGACATGATTGTTCCGGAACGGCGCGTACACGAAAAACACAACGCAAGACAGAAATAAGGCAAGGCAATGCTGCTCGACGTCCACTTAAAAGTGAATGATCGTATGGGACTTGGATCGATTGCCTAAATCATCATGTCACGCTGAATTTATAGCCAAGTGCAGTCCGCACAAAACGTCTAGTCTTATCTCGAATCTCTCGTAAATCCACCGGACTTTATTTTATTTACTTGCGCAAATCTTGTTATATCAACTTGTTACTGCAGCAAATAGGAAGGAAAATAAAAATATACCTATTAAAAAATTAATACATATCGGTTTAAAAAACTTTATATTGTGAAAAGTGTGTCTATTTCAGCACATCTTCAACACATTTCATATTTTGAATAATCGGATAATAATAAGGGCAAAATATATATCTGTAATCTGTTATTTCTCCGAATGATCGAATTTCTCGAATGATCGCCGCCCATTTGCCGCAAAGGAGAGCCTGTAGATGTTGATTAGGTAGTGCGATGGGACGTCTATTTTCGGCAGCATGAATTATCGAATTAACAGTCCGGCCTAAGTACATCCTCGTCTAATTAGCTGTCGTTGCGCGCGTCGCGTTGTCGTGTAAACATCCGAACACGCTTGTGTCGAACGAAGCGTGTTGCGACGATTAACGGCCTCGGATTGAATTCCGCCCTGTTCACAGGGATTCTCGGAAAGGACACGAACCAACCTTGGATAGCCGCGGGATACGGCAAGGGCCATAATTATGGATCGCGTAAGCAATACCGAAAGGGGCCGCGTATCGATAACGGGAGGCACGAAAGCAATTTCACGGCCGTCAGCAAGCTGTAGTCCTAAGGCGGGTCAACTATCGGGCGGAAATGCATCTGATCGAAGGGAAATCCTAGATTTCCCTCGAGGACTTCTTCGGGAAGCGCCGATAGTCGGACTGACCGGTGCCTCGCGAGTCTCTTCACCTCCGCTGCTTTCATGTCGCACCACATATCGCATTCCAATACGCGAATTCAATTTGAACCCGATAGTTTGCTTTGCCGCTTGAGAATGACCGAAACTGACTTGTTTTCAAAGCAGATATTTAAAGTCGATAAACGCCCGTAGCAAGGAATAATGATAATCATGATAAATGTATTCGACGCGTTTTTAGTTTGCGATATGAAATAGCGAGATTTTTGTTTTACCGATCCATAGATCCATGCAAAAAGATATTAGATGTTATTTATTGAGAATTTGATTCCAATCACAATTTTCGAAGCACGAAGAGGGAACGTAAATCGGGCGCGTTTATTATTTCGTTCAAAATTGAACGTACCTGAGAAAATGATAGTACCATGCAGCGCGAGAAGAAAAAGAGTAGATCTGCGAACTTATTTGCCGCTCGTTAAATTTCTATTCGTCAGTTTGAATTACGTGATACATCAAAGCTTGAGTGAGTACTGAAAATCAACGTTACCAGAGTTTTCAGTAAATACAGTAAATTCGCGCCGCCCTATGTGCTTGCGTTGCCTCAATATTGAAGGATTGGAGCTCTTACCCTTTCGTGGAGAACTGTTTGGAAATGCTCACGGGAAATTGTCAAATGCGATGTTGTTCCGTAGCCGGGCAGCTATCATGGCACACTTATGGCGTATGCAATATATTCTGAACCGCAGACACAACGTATATCAGGAACTACAGTCCGTTTGTCTATTACATGACTTCTGTACACTTGCGTATGTCGGAAAGTGTACCGCGTGCAAATTAAATGTATATGCGATATGAATACACTTATTGTACAGTCTTGTCCACCATTGTAAATATTACATTGTAAATATAAACCGACCTAATGATATTTTGTAATATAATAATAATATAATGTTTTGTAATAATATTTAATTGCGAAAAAATATTATGCGCTGTTATTATTAAACATTGCGCATCAATGTTAATTTCATTAATTATTACAAATGTTTTTGTTCTCTTTAGATAATAATTTGTTGAATTATTTAATACAGTATGCTTTTAAATTTATTTAGAGTTGGCGGATGATAGCAATCGTGTATCACTTAAGTATAAAATATGGTATATATTTATAGAGAGACTGTTTTGCGTTAAAGCACAGGAATAGTTTATTTCCAAAATCATTTTTCAATATCTAAATAACATAAAAGCACACAGAATAAAGCTGAATAATTAAAACAAGCGTAATGACTGCTTTGTATCATAATATTCATTTTCACACTCTAGTAATTTTTTGTTTTAAAATTTTTAAGAGATTGCAAAACAACTTATTATTAGATTGCGGTATCATGAAAGATTTGAAGATTGATTTTATATCTACATAGAAAAATTATCTGTAACAAATACCATTATTATTGTACATTACACATTATCGTACTGTTATATCGTGATAAATCGAATTATACGTTATCTATTGTTCAAGAATACGAATCAGCAATCTATATGTACGTAATTGAACAATAAAAGGAAGACAATAGTCAAGTGAGACTTTCGATTTTTTCACCGAATACGAATCACGATTCGTTTCGAGCCGGAAAACTTATAAACTTTTACGACAGTAGAATTTTTTTAAAGCTAGTTTGATTTTTCTATCTAAGCATTGATATAAAATTTTAAATTTTCTTTTATGGATGAGGTAAATGAACTGATTTACATCGAGATAAAAAATTAGATTGGTGATAAAGCAGAAAGGCGCAAATATGTATGACACAAAAATCTGTAACTTTAAATCACATGTACACATTTGTTATATTCGTTGTTAAACAGAAATATATTGCAATATATTTGTTTGACAAATCGATAAATAAATATCTGTATTGGGACAATTAAATTCATTGGAAATAATTGTTCCATAACTCTCTCTCTCTCTC